TCTCGCGCTCCTTATCGGTAGCCTCTACCTTGTCTGACAACTGCTGTAGCTTTTCCTCCGTCGCCCTCGCCAGTTTGAAGTAATTGTCTATGTTCTCATTTTTGTTGTATCGTATTTCGTTTTTTTGGTACTTGTCTATATTCTTCACTGCATTTCATTTTTTTGCCTCAAATCGTCCAACCTCGCCATCAAATCGTCCATCTCGAGAGGTTGTTTTTTCGTGGTTAGCTGTTGCCCCATGTTTGATTTGCTCATCGTTTTGAATGGCCTCTGTTGTGATTGTGGAAACTGTTCCAAACGTTTTGCCTTTTAGGCTTTTGGTTGTACCTCCTCTTTATCTCTTGGTTTCATTCCGACCATCATGAATGACGTTCTTTTTCCTTGAGAATCATCTTTTATTGATTCCGGCGTATTGCTTGTTGTGTCCTCCACAGTGTCAATTGGCGAGTTGCTTTCTCGTTACTTTTTGATCCGACGGAATTGCTTTCCATTGCGACGAACTATGATTTGCCTTTGACTCTAGAACTCTTTTTTCTGCTATCGGTGATGATTTTTATTTACAATTTTCTATATTTACGGTATTAAAATTTACAAAATTCTATTCTAAGGATAAAAATTCTAAAAAGTTTTCCTAGTTCTCCTAAGAAAAATTCTTTCAATACGTGATCTTAATAGAGCAGATTTCTTGTGGTTTAATTGTTGGGATGTTCCACACGTTTGTTGGGATGTTCCACACTGGGATGTTCCACACTGTCCCAAGATGTTGGGATGTTCCACACTGTTGGGATGTTCCACACTGTTGGGATGTTCGACACTGTCCCAAGACCTATCACTCAAGTGTTGGGTTACCTCGCACTGTCGCAAGACCCTTTTCGCTCTAGTGTTGGGACACTTCGTACTGTCCCAAGACTTTTCCGTACTGTCCCAAGACTTCTTCGTACTGTCCCGAGACTTTTCGGCACTGTCCCAAGACTTTTCTGTTCTGTCGCAAGAATTTTCTGTACCGTCCCAAGACTTTTCGTTACTGTCCCAAGACTTTTCGGCACTGTCCCAAGACTTTTCGCCACTTCCCAAGACTTCCGCACTGTCCCAAGACTTTTTGGTACTGTCCCAAGACTTTTCGATACTGTCCCAAGACTTCTTGGTACCGTCCCAAGACTTTTCCGCACTGTCCCAAGACTTATTGGTCCTGTCCCAAGACTTTTCGGTACTGTTCCAAGACTTCTTGGTACCGTCCCAAGACTTTCTCGTACTGTCCCAAGACTTTTCGGCACTGTCCCAAGACTTTTCCGTACTGTCCCAAGACCTCTTCGTACTGTCCCAAGACTTCGTGGTAACGTCCCGAGACTTTGCCACTCAAGTGTTGGGACACTTTCCACTGTCCCAAGACCCCTTCTCTCCTAGTGTTGGGACAATCGGATCTCTTCTTCTTCGTTGTTGGGACTCTTTAACCACTATTCCTGGTACCACCACTTGAGCTCTAATATAGAAATTTCCCTAAAACCCAACCTTACTGGCCAAAAGTTTCAATTACTAACCCCCCTGTATTTATCTCCTTTTATTAATCTGATGCAAGTTGAAACCCAACTTGTTCGCAGGTGTCTTGTGATCACCTGTTTGTTCAAAACCGATAAAATTAGTACCAAAAACGTAAAAACTTAAACGAGAAAAAAATGATAAAAACAGAGAGATGAACCCGCCTAAAATTCAAAGGTGACCAATGTCGTCTTTTCGTGAAGAAAAAATGTCTGGTACTTGATTGTCATGCGTTTTCCTCTCCCCTACTAACGTTCTCATGGGGTATTTTTCTTCTGGGTTACAAAAACTGTCTATTTCCTTTCCCCCCACCCGATCCGACCAGGGTACCTACCTTAATTCGATCTTAAATTTGGATGTCCTTGCTTTGTAATTCACTCGTGTAAGAGTAAAATGTAACTAGATCGAAGATATCGATTGATTAATTACTGTAACGTGTCCCCCCTTTTTACAATTTGCAACCGCCAACCTCTAACCTAACCAGCTCCCTTCTAACCTCCCGCCTATTTAGCGCCCCTTAAGCTGAAAATTAATTTAAGCGCTGAGTGCTAAACCTCTTGAGAAAAAACCGTAGAACCTGTTTCCAAGCTCTGCTCAAGTAAAAACGTTCCTCAAAACAGTGGGGTTACGCTTATCCAATTTTACACTTATCTCCTATAATGTAATATGGATTCTAACGATACCCGATTGACCAACAAGAACACCCCTGTGTGCCCTCCTCTGGTTGTTCTGATTCCGTGCTGGTTGTCTTCTTGGCTTGTCCTGCACCTCTCACCGGCACCACTTTCCCACTTGGCTGGTCGCCTGTTCCAGTCAAGTCTCCCCGTGGTCTGTCGATTGACCAAACAGAACACCCCTGTGTGCCTTCTCTTTTCGGTCTCGTCGGTGCTGGATGTCTCTTTGTCGTGTCCAGCACTTGTCGGGTTCCCTTCCTGTGAACCACTATCCTAGTTGGCTGGTCACCTTTTCCAGTCAAGTCTCCTAGTGGTCCAGCTAAAATGCAAACTATCTGAAAACCCTTGACAACGCCCCACACTCGGGCACCTTTTTAAATTGCTTAATTGATCGAAACGATCCGTCTTATGAAAACAGTATGGGTATACTATTTAATTAAAATAAATGTTCGATCCAACTAAACTAGTATCAAAGTCACTGTCCTTTTTTGTCTTATGGTTTTTGTTCCTTTTTCTATTCTTATATAGTTTTTGTTTCGCTTTTTGTTTTTTTGCCCGTTTTTTGTCCCCCTAGTTACCCCCTTACTCGGTTAGCTAGGCCTCGTTCGGAGAGCGTACCAGGAATTTTCTCAAGTTTTCTTAAAAAGCTTTCACGGTACAACCGGAAGGTTTACACGTTCCCGCTGAACCGTACCACCGGTACTCTAGAATTAGCATGTGCCCGGAGCATGTCAAGTGGGTTCGACTCCGTAGTCATGATGTCATAAAAACACACAGAAGCGCCATAAAAACACTATGTAACAGTCGCCTACTTAAGTCACATATGAGGTTAAAGAAAAATAGGCCCTATAACCATTGGCTCAAGAGACAGGGACACTATCTCTTGTGTTTTCTACCTCGAACGGTCGGAGCCAATTCGGTTCACTTGTGACATGAGACTAAAACCCTCGTTACAGCTTAAAGGTCACTACCAAAATACCCCTTACTCTAGAAAATAAGAAGGTCCCCATTTTTAGGTCTCAAAATACCCAAAATACGCGAACGCCGTTTAAAACAGGGTCGGAACATTCCGTTTTGGTTGCTTTTTATTAGACAGTGGAACTTTGATCCATTTCAGATGGATCAACCTAAAACTCTCCTTAACTCAACACAACAATTATGAAACACACTCAAGAAAACTAAATTGGTACTCACATACCAGCCCACTCGAGTTTTGGAGTAACTAAATTAATCAGCAACTCTAGCATTAAAGGGAATTAAGTTTTAACTCAAGAAGTTTGCAATTAATGAATTCCAGCAAAGGAAATGAGTTTTGACTTGAGAGATAAGTTTTGGGGCTGGACCATTGAGAGATCTCGGTTGTCCACCTTTCCGCCGAAAGTTCACTCTGGTCCACTTCTAATTAATATCTTCTCTTCTCTCAATCGTTATGTCTCCTATTTCAGGATAAGACAGCTCTACTCTAGTGTGATTTTATGTCTGGAAATTGCCAATAGCATTTTCCCGCTGCTTTCTACCACTTTTCCGCGATTGTTCTGATCTTATTTTTGTGAGATTTTCAGTTGTCGCGAGAAATTTGAGCATGACATGCTCAATTCGAATTTTTCACGTTGATCGTTTTGCTCAAGGTCAAACTTCCAAATATTACCGACTGGCACATACTCCCCGGACTCAAGATCGATGTCCTCATCGCCAGGGATATCGATTCGAATCCGAGTATTCGACCCGAATACCGAGTATTCGGCACTTCGAAGCCGAATCCGAATATTAAAATTTTGAAATCCGAATATCGAATCCGAATATTTTTTTTTTTTGCCGAATACCGAATAATCCAGGGTCCACTGCTAAAAAACCCGAATATTCCGAATATTGGTTTACTGTTTTGTTTCACAATATTTTTCTGTTTTTTTTAAGATGGCTAATGAAGAAGAGTCTGATGTCGCTGCCGAGTGCGAGTATAGAAAAGAAAAAAGAGTGGCAAAATGGCATGAAAAGTTTCTTGTGGAATATCGATGTTTTCTTAAATAAGAATAAAAGGTTTTTGAAATACAACTGTTCATTAGCAAACTTGTTTTAAAATTACGGTCTCTTTTTTAAATAGTGTCACTCGATTTAGCTCGAAAAACTGGGTTGTCACTGATTTTTAACAGTTTTTAGCGATCTCAGTCGATTTAGCTCGAAAAACTGGGTTGTGAGTTGTGAATGATTTTTAACATTTACTCACTCCCGCGATTTTTACATTATTACGCAAGTCCCAGCCAATTCTACTTGAAAAATGCTATGTTCAATACTTTTTATAGAATTTGTTGTATCAAACTTTTATGCTAGGTTTTTTGGGAAAATAACCAAATATCCGAATAGTTGTTCGAGTAGTAACATTTGGCCGAAGCCGAATCCGAATAGTAAGGGCACTATTCAGCCGAAGTCGAATATCGAATAGTTGGGCCGCGGCGAATAACGAATATCAAAAAATCCGAGTATTCGACATCCCTGCTCATCGCGTGTTGCCGTCTGCCAGTGAATCCCCCGTCTCCCAGTGAAAAAGCAAGAGAGATAGTGTCTATGGCCCTTAAGCCAATGGCTGTAGAGCTTATCATTCATGATCTCACATTTGACTTGAGTGATCAAATTACCACAAATGACTAATGTTCATGCACTAATTTCTAATATTAGGTTCTAAAACAAATTATTTGGAGTCTAAGTTTTGTTTTTACCTACTTAGGCTGCAATTTAAATTTTTTTTTTAGTAACTATAATAAAGTTGAGTTAATTAGAAGCTGATTTTCAGAAATGGCCTGTGTAACTTTGAAGCGGTCACTAGATCTGGAACCGTTGTATTCCCCAACAGGCAACAGTGCAAAAAGGCGAAGATGTGCACCGCTTACTCCTCTTTTTGCTCGAAACGATCAGTCTAACTCTGATCAGCAGATGTCCAGAAAAATGCACTCGCATGGATCCAAGCACATTGAAGCAAGACGTGTTTTTGGAGATTCTGGTGCCCAGTCACCACAATCGAACTCTATTGGTGCTTTTTCTCCGATGCCAATGCCTTCAAATGGTAACAAAGATCACGTTTGTGTTTGTTTCAGGAGGATTTCAAAGCATTAATAATCTTTCATTTTTTCCAGACGATCTTTACAACAGAATTAAGCAGGAATGGAAACGTTTGAAACGGCGAAAGCAATTGAAGTACGGTAAGCATTCGGGAAAACATTTCTCGAAAAATGGAAGTGGTTCGTCGTCGGGAAGCGACAACGACGAATATGCTTCCACGTCATCGTCCAGAATGGCCAACAGGACTCAAAACAGCAGTAGTGAAAGATCCGCAAACCCAGGTGCTTTGTTCACACTGGAACAGGTTGTGACCATCTGCAACAAGCTGCTGGTCGATCGCGACAATACTGTGCGAGAGGAGTACGATCGGGCGCTGACGGAAAAACTTGCAGGTATTCGCATTCTATAATCAGATGCAAATGCTTGATTGTCCCAATGTAGTGTTTAAAGGCACGTGAAGGCGAAGTGAATCGTATCAATCAATTTTTAGTTTTGTTTTTAGAGCAATACGACGCATTCGTGAAATTCACTCACGACCAAATTCAAAGTCGCCTGTCCCACAGCGCATCATGTGAGTTGATATTTTTCTTCAAACCTGGTAAAATGAGAAGGAACTACCGTACGGTGGTTTTTCCGCCTAAAGTGATCAAACTCACTCAAAGAACCTTATTAAGGCACCGATTGTGGTATCGTTTTGAAGTCCGTTAAATCGCAATTCGACTACAAAATCATATTTAATGAAGTGTGTTCAGCAGTCTTTTGTGTTACACGCAACTGAGTTTTTAGAAATAAATAAAGTAATTTGCGAGCTCAAGTCATAAGTATCGAGTTGTCAAAGCGTGTATTAAACTATCCGAATAGGCTTAGGAATTTGAATAAAACGAAATCTGTTTCAGAACTAACCACTCATGTTCGCAAGCAATCTCATCAGCGACAGAAACGATTCAAAAATCAAAAATTGTTGATAAATAAAAACTACTTGGCTCGCAGCTTTTTTGATTTCAAAAACGCTTTCAATGCAATTGATCATGAGTTGTTGTTGAAAAAATTAGAGCGTTTTGGTTTATGCGGAAACTTATCCTAGAAATCAAAAACCGTTCTTTATTTTGATAAAACAAGGATAACCGGTTGCTGTGAAAGTAGCACAGAATGTTCCGGCCATATTCATAAAAAAACTTAAAGAAAAGAGGTTAAGTTTTTTCTTCAAGTAAGTGTCGTTTTTAGTGGAAGGTGTGATGCGAGAACTAAACAAAAGCGTAGACGCTTAGTGAATTCGAAATAATTGACAATATTTGTCTTCAAAAAAATGAATGACAAACAAAAAATGTTTTAAAAAATCGAAGTTTTTGCTCAATATTTTTTGAGAAAACCCTTCTTTTCTTTGTATTAAAAGTTTTTTAATCCTAAACTTTTAAATACAACACATTTTCATGTAAGGATCGTTAGTTGATCGCTTTACTCGCTCCAAACTGAACTAAGAATCAATAAGTTTAAACCAGTTTTCTCGACACTTGATCAAATTTTTTTGAAATTTTTTATGTCGCCCGAATCACGACTGAAAGGTCTTCAATTTGGTATATCACTCGATCCATTCCGATGATTACACTTGCGATCAGCTTAATGTATTCTTACGAACCTTTTTTGCTAACCTAGCAAAAATAAGTGAACACTCGGAATCGATAAACTACATAAGAACTATAATAAGCTTCGCGCTCATCAGGAGCTCTTTACTATGTATAAGGGGGTGCAGATCGCTGCGCAAAATTCCATTTATCGACAACTCTATAAGCGCTTTTGTATAGGAAGGACGGTTAATATAAATTATCATTACGACCATGCATTAAATGCTGATATATGACTCATTGATACAATGATGCAGTTTGCTGATAATATGTATTTTAATAACGCTGGTTTTTATAACGCCTTTTGTAATTTGCTTTTTTTTTTAAAAACCGAACTCGCAAATAAAAGTGTTCATTAAACGTGTTCACTAATTTGGAAATTTCACTAGCACTAGAAATTGCTAAGCATCTGTTCTCTGCTATATTGTGGCAAGTGTTTTGTGCCTAATATGCGTCCGTGGCTGAGTGGTTAGTTTGTGAGACTTAATCTCTAGGTCACAGGTTCGAATCTCAGACGTAGCCGGTTTTTTACATATTCGAGGCTAATTTCCAATTTTTTTATTGCATTTTATAGAGCTGCCTTTTGCCGTGTTCTCGCGAGTGTTTGCGAGGTGAAGCTTCGCCTCTGTGTTATTTGTGGTAAAAACTAAACTGCACCCGAATAAAATGTTCATCTCCATTTTCAATGTTCTGAAAAACAAGTAGAAAGATTAGCTGAACAATCCATTTCATGAGGGGTATCCCAAGGGCCCGTTTCAAAAAGAGCTGCAATACAATAGAAGATGAGATTTTGTTGAAAAAATAAACGTTATGGTTTTTGTGGAAAATGCTTATCTTAGCAATCAAAAACAGTTCAAATAAACCAAAGTAAAAAAATCAGCTGAACTATTCGTTTAATGTGAACTGGGATCTATTTTAGGTCCACCGTTTTTTTAACTGTTCATTAATGTCCTTCCTAGCTTTTTAGCTTATGAAATAAGGCGAGTTGCTGGCGGCACTACGTAAAATGCTCAGATAAAAGAGGATTTTTAGACAAAGATTCGAAAGTAACACGAGTATCGTCTTCTCATGAAGCACGGATAATTAGATTTCACCTATTAATTCGAACTGTAAATATATTAAACTTGGGGTTGATTTGAACTTTAATGATTCAATATGAACTAGTGGAATATATCGAACTACGAATTCTAATTATCTTGGGAGAACTATTGATGCAAAATTTCAAATTGTCTTCTCATATCAAGCGCAGTTGTAATTTATTGATTAACTTCATTGGTATTCTTTTTCGGGCAAGAAATTTTTTTTCAATGTGATTATATCTGTTTTATAATGCATATTCAAGCCAATGTTTTCTTAAACAATATTTGGTTATAGACAGCTAGTAAAAGTAATCTCAATAGAATGTTGAGTTTTTAGAAGCGTATTCCCTGAACTAATTTGTTTAAATGAAGTTTTGAACACAGTATGCTAATTTTTCTTGTTGCACTATTCAAACAAACTTTTTTAAGGCAAAATAACCTATTTTCAATTTTTAGTTTTGTGCGTTTTTACAGGTCCGCCCCGACAATTTCAAAAACTAGAAGGGCAAAAGTTTACTTCCTGCTTTCAAACATCGGACGAAAGTAGATGTGATTAAATATTTAAAGTTGAACATGAGTAAATGTTTTAATGTTTCAAAGAGACGGGAGGTCTCATTTTCTCACTAAAACTGATCTTTTTTTAAATCAGTTATCAAAACTTCTCTAAATTTGAAAACAAAATTGAGACAATTTTATAGCAAAGATGAAAAAACTTAATTAAAACTTACATGATCATTTTACTTATGAACTTGGGTGCTTAAAGTGTTTCAAAATCTTTTCGAGATTGTCTTTAACCAGCCAAGACGGTTGTTGTGTGCTCGTTGTTCAGTAATCTAGACGCAATGATTTATTTTTTTGTCAAATACCAGCAGTGGTTTCATTTCAATCGCTTCTTTTTTTGGAAAACTGACTTCCTATTTTTTAACGCAGCAGTTGTTTTTCAAGTATACTTTAAAGGCTTCTTTTAAAATAAGGGTCAAAAAAGGATTTTTTTTTGTAATGTTATAGACAAGTTTGTGCTACTTATTTGAAGGCAGGAACCACGTAACAATCTTATAGCGTAAATCCTATTTGTTTTAGACGTCTCCTAAATGACTGAATGACACTTAGCCAAGTAGATTAAAATTGCATCATGGTCAAAATCGGAAAAGGAGTTTTCGGCGCCGAATCATTTCAACGTACGAAATCAAGAAGGCAGCAGAAATAAAACTGTTTTTTAAATTGTTGTTTGGAAATATCTTTATATTGTGATGTGCTATCAAAATAGCGAATATCCTAAATCGTCGAGTTACTAGTATCGTTAAGTCGTTAATTGGCTATGTATTTGTTATCCTTAACAATGTATTATGGCACCTAACAACTAAATCAAATTTATGTAAGACATAGTAAAAAATCCTCTGTGCGAAGTGCATATTGAAATCTGGTAACTGTTTCAGTCGGTCATGAATTTTGTCTCTTCTTAACTTATTTATTGCTTTAAAAAACATTATCAGTGGTGAAGACAAAATCATGGGCTAACAAAAACCACGTTTGTCGTTCAACTACGCTATCAATTACTGCAAACTGGGAGATAATTATGAGTAATGGAGAGTTTTCAATTAATTGTACCATGCATGATGGATGTTCTGTTCATGATTAATAGTGGGTTTCTCTTTAAGTGCTCAATCATTTGAATGATAGTTAATGCTGAGAAGTTGACAAAATCGGTAAATTAAAACGATCAGACAAAGGTTTTGTAATTTGTTTTGGTAACGATTTCCACGAGCAGCGGATTTAACTGGCAAAATGAAAAATTTAAGATCATTGGCTTGTGTCCGGATCTGATGATCGAAACCGATGTTTTTTTCAACTGAGCATTCTCTAAAATTTCAACTTTCACATAGCTACCATCATGATTGGTTTGCTGTGAATTCAATTGGTTGTATTGTAACCAAGTATTTTACAGTTTTTGCGGCAGTATTTCATTATGAAGAAACTATGATATTATTTTTGAAACTTGTGTCAACTTTTGTTTACTAAATACGGTGAAATAGTTGGTTTGTTGAAAAGCTACTCTTTTTTACTCATAATTTCAAGTTAAATTCAAGTTTTATACAAAAGAACGTTTTTTTAAGATTGATAGAAATGTTTTCTTGCAATAATCAATGAAAGAGCCTTAGAGAGATGGAGATGGATAGGTCGCGATGCTTTTTTTTGTTGTTTTTTTTTTTAGGAAAAGTCTTAAAATTTGTTCAGGCTCAAATTTACTTTTTCGCGGTTTGACTTTTGATTTCTTCAGCTCTTTTCTTTTGTTAAAAGGAAGGCAAACTCCAATATCGAACAGCGAAAAAGTGAAGGAATTAGTTTCAAAAGTGGAATTTGATTTCCCAGCGAAATAAATGTTTTACACGTTGCTCCAATTTGCTCAAATTGGGTTAATTTCATTAAAAATACGCCAGCCATAAATCGTTCAAGAAATTCAAATGTAAATAGATTGTCATTTTCTATGATAAAGTGCTCATCATACAATTTCCACGTATAAAATTTCTATGACTAGCAGTTTTCCATAAAAAATGAATTTTCAGGGCTCATTTTAAAGTTAAAGCTTAAACTAGATTTTTGTTGATTAATTTTTTGGTTGTCGAAAAGTACTTGTTATAAGCTTTTTATATGAAAAAATTGAATGCTAACTCTTTTGCCACAGAAGGAAAACAATACTCCAAAGTTGGGAAATTGAGAAATTTTGTTTACAATCTAGTCCAAGTTCTATATCGCGAAAGGAAACAAAAGTGAAAAGTTAAGTTTTATAAATGAAAGAGTTTCATTTGCAGAGTGAATTATGTAAAACCAGATATATTGTTTTTGCTTTCATAAAGTTTGATATACTCAAATCTGTGAAAAAAATCACAAACCTTTCAAATCCGTCTTTTAGTTTCAGTCGCTTATTTCAGTGTTAATTTTTTGTTCTGCTTTCTGTTTAGTTTCTGTTTTTTTTTCATTGATGTAAATAAGACATTCAAACCTGCAGGTAAAGGTTCGTCAGTCGTAAATTGCAGGTACTTGATTGGAAGTTTGCTGTGAGTGGTTGTTGTTCTGACCCACAGTAAAAAATTTCGTTAAGTTTCCCAGTGACGAGAAAAACTTTAACGTTTTTGATTTTTGGTCTCATTTTGAGTGACTATGGCGCGCGAGCAGGCTTGTTTATGCTTAATTTAAGTCCTTTTCAATAACTTTTTTATGCTTAATTTCGAGTTTACTTGAGTAAAGTTCGTTTTTGGAGTTTGCAACGCCATTTTGGGAATCAAAACTTCGAAAATAAAAAAAAATTCTGCGTTTTAAATGATTTTTTGTCTTTAATTATTTATCTTCAAAAATTTTTGTGAAGTTTGTCTATTTTAATAAGATTGTCAAACTTGAGTATTTTCTAGTTTTTTGAAGAATATTGTCGGAATATTCTGTGCTACTTGCTCAGTAACCAGCTGTCCTTGTTTTGTCTTTCGAAACCATATTATAATTTTGAGAGCACTTTTTTGTTCCTTGTTTTCGCAAAATGCTGCTTCACTTCTGTCTAGTTCATTAAAAAATGTAAGGGGTGACCAGAAAAATATTTTCATTTGTAAATCTGAGTTTCGGCCAAATTTTTCTTACTGGATTTTAAAATATCCCTTTAGCTTGGTTAGAATGAAGACACAGACCGACTGTTTGTTCTTTTTTCAAATTTGTCATTTCCCACAGCAGCGTGTTGTCATTCTTCTTGATTTGTTTGGTCTCTCAGTAATTGATATCTTTCTTTTAACATTTAAAAAATATTTTCAAGCCTTAGTCTTGTGACCGTCAGAACATTGCACGTCTCAAAGTGTCAGTATGTATGATTTTGATAGGCGTTCTAGCAGACTATTGTGAGATTTCATTTGATTTAATCTCGGCTATGCAACGCAAAATTAACAAATTTTTAACTCACCTGTTTGTAAAAAATCATCATTTTTTTCCTGGAATTAAGTTTCAACCAATCTGTTCACTTTTCAAGCTATGTAGTTCAACTTTCAAAATATCAAAAATCATCCTTTTTCGCCGTATAACCGACAATTTTCGTCATTATCTGGTGTAAAATTCTATGGTCCCTGATTTCTACGCTTTACAGTGGCAAACTTTATACTATTTTTCTAGCAAAAAGCAGACAGGTGACAAAGTAGACAAGTCGTTAAGCAATCAGAATCGAGAGAAGAAAAAAATTAGTACCGTTTTTTTTTCATCTCAATTACGGTTGGCGTACGACGACTCGGCTTTATGGCATAATTGCATGAGTACTTTTTGACCGCACTCACTTTACAGACAATTTTATTTGTTTAACAGGATCAATATATCACAAAATTTTTAAACTGTTTTAGTAAAATAAACGCAAACATTCGCTGATTTCAAAGGCAAACAAAAATTTTTGGAAACATGAACCTTCCGGCGAATTTCAAAATAGATTTTCTAAATATTTTTGTTTTTCACAAAAACTTTATGAATCCTCTACCATCTTTTCTTGTTTTTTTTTTCATCTTCATAGATGTTATTGATTTATCAAAACTTTGTTGGTTGAATTATTGCGTCAGCTTTTTTCTTTTTCAGTGATTCGCTTGTTCAAGAGCAATACACTTTTTTTTGTTGCGTTAGACTTTGAATTTTCATAAAAAAAGGTCAAAAGCTCTCATCGCTTTCTCCTGATCGTCTTTTCTAATAGGCTTATAGCTTCTTGCGACTTTTTTGATGCACTAATTAAAGCCGTATAATTTAGTTTTTCTCAGCATAGAACTGTCATCCTAAATATTAACATGATAAAAAGTTTTAATTTATTGGTTTTTCGATCTAAAAATTATTAGTTTTTGTTTCGAGGTTACTGGAAACATTAGCGTTGCCGCTGTGCATATTAGTTTAATCAATGTGGTCTCCGATTTCGATATGTAAAGTCTCAAATTCTTTTCCCTTTTGAAACCAATTAGTTTTAATCTGATAATGGCGTGAAATTTTTACAGAGATTGAATTTTTCTTTCCTTTTCAATTTTTGTTTCAAGAATGATAGTAAGAGAAGCAGGTAAATTTGACCGAATGACGCAGATAATGTATGAAAGCTTCTTATGAGTTTATCGGAAGAAAGTTTTCTTATTGTTATCTCAGTTTTGAACAAGTTTTTCTACGCTTGCGATTAGCAAGCATTATCAAATCGGAACTTTTTTCGGGTTAACAACTTGTTTAGCAGAATCACTTGGTATTTTGGTTAATAATGAATTCAAATTTTCATGCGTCTCTGGCACAATCAGCCTGGAAGTAACGGGTACGCCTGGGACGGAAAAGGTCCTGGGTTCGAATCTGACCTGGACCTGTTTATTTTTTTGAACAGGAATCATTCCGTTGCAGAAAAATTGTCGACCTATCATTTGTCTGCGTATGTTTTGTCGGCTATCTTGCGAAATTCCAAAATTTCTTGCCGTATGTTTTCATCTGTAGTTTTCATTGTAGTTGCTTTCGTTTTTTTTCATTTACTCCTGTAGTTTGCAATTCTTCTAACCTTGACTTCGTCAATTTTTCTTTGTTTTTTTTTCGCTTGAAAATTTTTTCAGCCTAATTGATTTTGTCTTCTGTTTTATCGGCTCACTAACTTAATTTTGGGTCACTCGAGGGAACCATAATACGTATGCTTTCCACCGGATCGCACAAAATTTTAAAAATCTCAGAATATAGTTTATAGTTCAAAGTTTTTCATGACAACATTTTCATGTTCGCTAGATAATTGTTTTTGAAATTTCGTTAAAAGCCGTTGAATGTGTTTCTGGTTGTGTTTTGCGCAAATAGACCATAATTCCAGACAACATTTTGATGTTTTTCCATTGTGGATTCTTCGAAAATTTTGGTTGTATCGCAAGTGATATGTTTTAAAAATCCTTTGGTTTCATTAAAACGGGGTGGATGATTATGCTGACTTTCAAGCGATGAGACCGACGTGACTAATTTATGAGAACATCCGAATTGCGGGAAAACAACAGTAGAGCTGAGGATGAATTTATTAATGTCACTTTCATTCGCTGTTTTTTAATGTCCTGCCAAATCATCGTCCCGGCAGACTACGACACTAAAAGAAAATTGCTTGTGGTTTGTGTTCGCCTGCAAAATCTTTTGAAGAGAAAAAATTGATTTGGTGTATTTGCGAGATTCAATTGTTGCGAGGTTTTCAACGCGCAAACGATCAATGCTGCAATCAGAAAACATTTTTTTTTCAAAATCTAACCCGAACTATGCCTATAAAGAATCAACACGCTTCACATGAATTGTCCAAAACACGCTTCACATGAATCGTCTCAAATCTATAATGTCTATAATACACAAAGTTTGAGTCAGTTCAGGCAGTGCTTCGTCAAAAAACCAGAAGTTTATCAACCAGTCAAGATTTTCCGTCTTTGAAGGCCATGAAAAGACAGAGATGCTTATTTCAGTTATGCATTGGAATAACAATAAGATAAATGGCCGACTTGTTTGAAAAGTTTTGTTGATGTGATAAAACTCCTGTTTATGATTCCTGTCGCAACTCAACTTAGTCGACCTCATTTTTTTAATCTTTATCCATTCGCAGACTTGACTCTCTCTGTTCATCGCCCTTTTGTTAGAGCATATGGCATCAATTACTTATTATAAAGGTGAGAGGATAGTTTTTTTTTAAAAACTAAGCCAAATTTCGATTTTGCATTCTTTGCCATTGACGTTACTTGCATGCTCTTATTGGACTTGACGTTAATCTGTTAAAATTATTCAATTCATTTTATGGAAGATACTTGGCGGGATAAAATCAATAGATTTTTTTCGAGCTCTCTGCTTGAAACAGCAGTGAAACACAAAGCAATGTTCGTACAAAAAACAGACCTGTATTTTTTTCAGTTTTTTCATAAATCACAAGTTAGATTCACGATGTACTCTTTTTCTTATTGCTTCGTGATGATTCTAAGCTCATTAATTGCTTGCGGTTTGTACCTTGTTATTATCCATCTGCAGCTACGTTTAGATGTTCTAAGGTTTCAGCCGGCCAATCATGAGCTAAAATATAATGCTTGAAAATC